GCTTGAGTTACAGGTGGTTGTGAGCTGCCCCACATGGTTCTGGGACCTGAACTGGAACTGAGCCATCTCTCCAACCCCATCCTCCCCGCCCCCCACATACACAAGGTCTTACTGTGTAGCCCAGAACTCCCAGAGCTCCTCCTACCTCTACCTCCTGGGCACTGAGATTAAAGAGCCACCATGCTCAGCTCCCCCAGGTCTCTTAATAAACAAGTGTTGCAAAACTCAGCGTGATACAAAAAGAGTATACAGGATGAGGTTAAAAATAATAACTAGTAACGCAGGAAAATACAGTAATAACGCAAAGAACAGGACAACCTAATAATGATAATACAGATGTGTGAACTCTGCCTCTCAAAATATCTTGCCCTTCCTGAGACGGTGAGGAAGGCTGCAGGGTCTGTGTGATGAGATGGGTGGGCGATGTGGGCCTGGTGTAGTCTTAGTGCTCTGTAAGGGCTTGAACGGGAGCCCTGTGATGTCAGGACTGATGATGTCTTGCAGCCAGGTGTCTACTCTGTGACATGGATGTATTGCGGGACTAAGGAGTGACTCCCATCTGGGATGGAGCAAGGCAACATGAGATTTCCCGACACTGCTCAGAATGACACACACATGTACATGTTGCAGATGAGCTGGGTGCTGCGCCACACGTCTTTAGGAAGCAGAGGCAGGCGGTTCTCTGTGAGTTTTTAGTCCAGCCCAGTCTTCGTAATGAGTTTCAGGACAGCCAGAGCTACAGAGTGAGACCCTGACTCAGAAAAACAAAAACAAACGAAACAAAAAATTACAGATCCTTTCTCTTTTGCCTGCTGGGTTTTCATTTAATATTTAAATTAACTTGCGGCCCCTGACCACAGGTAACTAAAACCCTAGATAAGGGAGGAGAGCAGGCTTGTGGCCTTCGGCACCCTGACCCCATACACCAGCTGGCATTTAATGCTTAGCTGCATCCCTGATTCCATCATTTATGAGTTATGAATTTAAACAAGTGGCTAAATTATTTCCTGTCAGGACTGAGAACAGAACCATTTAAATATTTGGGAATTTAAAGGAAGTTAGCCTCTGACTCTGACCAGTTTGGTAACCTAAAGTGCAGAAAAGAAAAAAAAAAAAAGGAAGTGCACTTTTTATTTTAAATTTTTATGTGCTTTTTTTCTTTCTTTCTTTCCTTCTTTTTTTTCAAGACAGGGTTTCTCCACGTAGTCCTGGCTGTCCTGGAACTTGCTCTGTAGAGCAAACTGGCTTTGAACTCAGAGATCAGCTGGCCCCTGCCTCCTGAGTGCTGGGATAAAGGCGTGCACCACAACCGCCTGGCTTATGTGCATTTTATTCTATGGATGTGGTATTTTGTCTGCATGTGTGTCTGTACAGCACATGTGCGCCTGGTGCCCTTGGAGGCCAGAAGAGGGCATCTGTCCCCTAGGACTGAAGTTACAGACAACCACTGCCATGTGTGTGCTGGGAATGAAATCCAGGTCCTCTGGGAGAGTCGCCAGTGCCCTTCACACTGAGCCATCTCTTCGGTACTGAACTACTTTTTATTTAAAAAAAACAAACCAGAAGTTGGGGAGTGAGGCTCAGTGTGGAGCAAATACTTAACTTATGCTAGTCCCTGGCTTCAGTCCCCAGTGCACACAAGCACACGAGAAATCTGAATTAAGACTATGAAGTCATGTTTTAGTATATTTCATAGTTCATGCTTTTAAATTTTTATTATTTACATGGGATCTTATGTAGCCTGGGTTAGCATCCAAGCCATTATATAGCCAAGAAAATTCTTCATCTCCTGATTCTCCTATCTCCACCTCCCAAATTCTGGAATTGGGAGGTGTGCCACCAGCATCCAGCTCCGTAGCTTCTACTTTAGTGCTTATGACAAACACACACTTAGAGAGCTCATCCAACTCCCTCTGCTCACCTCTGTGGGCTCCAAGCACGACATGACACAGACACGCATGCAGGCTAAACACTCTACATATGAAAGTAAATAAAAGCTCCCAAAAACGTGTGCACACTGTGTATCTATCTTCTGGCTTCACATTTTTATAGGCCATTTTAGGGCTGTTAAACTTTTTAATAGCTGGAGATGGTGGTGCATCCTGTAACGCCAGTCTGGGGCAGGAAAATTGCCATGAATCCTAAGTCGGCCTGAGACAGACACACACAAACTATGCACCATTCGAAACACAAAAATAGTAATAATTAGCCTATCTGGTTAATAGGAAGTTCTACATTTATAGAAAACAGTTGGGCAAGGAAATGTGGTATTAATATTCTTTCACTATCCCTCTTGGTCAGCAGTTTGAATCACAAGGCCAAATTGCCCAGGAAGAAATAATGAACCCTCAATTGTGTGAAAATCATCTATTAGATGATTCATCATATTAGATTCCAGACCAGCACCTGGTTGGTTTGGGTGCATCAGAGATGTCTCCAGGGTCCCTGGAGGAGACTCCCAATAGGTCACAGTTTGGGAAACTGACTGTCCTCCCAGACCTATAAAATGACAGCAAAGCTTATGTGTGAAATACTCCCAAATAAGGACAGATTTGCCATCTTATTATGTTATTTAAGATTGTTTTTTATGAAGCCAGGCATACGTACGAACCCCTTTACTCCCAGCACTTAGGAGGCAGAGGTGGGTGGATCTCTGAGTTCAAGGCCAGTCCGGTCTACAGAGGGAATTCCAGGATAATGTCTCAAAAGGGCAAAAGAAAAAAAGAGAGAGAGAGAGGGAGAGAGATTAATTATTTTATCTATGTACATGTGTGAATGTATAACATGGGTGTGCCTGTGCCAGGGCAGGCCAGAAGAGTGCCAGACCTGGCAAAGCTGAAGTTATAGATGGTTGTAAACCATCTCGTATGGCTGCTGGGAGCTGAACTCAGGTCCTCCTTCAGTTCCTAGAATAAGAAGTGTTCTTTTTAGCCGCTGAGCCATCTCTCCAGCCTGTATTTAATTCTTAAATAACATTTATTTGTGTGTATATGTGTGTGTGGGGGAGTTGCATCCATGCCACAGCATGCCTGTAGAAGTCAGAGGACAAACTGTGTGAGTCAGTTTTCTCTTACCGTGTGGGTTCTGGTGACAGACTCAGATTGTCAGGCTTAGCAGCAAGCATCTCCACCCTCTTGAGACAGCCAGCCAGCCTATTTGAATCAGTGGGGGATGGGGGAAGAATGAATGTGAGCAGCATATCCCAGACCTCTGTGCATTAAGACATCCTGATGGCTATGGCCAAATTCGAGTGAGTTCTCTACCTCTTCACTTCCACCTCTGCCAGCCATTCAGATTTACTCTTGGAGTGTGACACCGGAATATGCCACCTGCTGAGCGTGTGTGTGTGTGTGTGTGTGTGTGTGTGTGTGTGTGTGTGTGTACCTGGGAACACTCCCGGAAGGGTGCTGGCTCTGCTATGCTTTCCTCAGAAAGCGCTCCCCTGAGGGAGAACCACTGCAGGGGCGGGCTGTAGGCTGTCCTGGAGACAGAGTCTTACTCAGCTTAGGTCCCCTAGAGCATCCAGTTCACAGCTTGGCACGAGCCTAAAAGAAAAAGAAGATGGAGTGCTGCCTGGCTCAAACAGAAGAAGGGTGTGTGTGTGTGTGTGTGTGTGTGTGTGTGTGTGTGTGTGTTGTGTAATTGGTCTGTGTAGCCCGAGCACTGGCTCTGGAGAGCCTGGACGATGGGCGGGGATTGGCTGCTGTCCCCTCCCCCTGCCCTATGTGGCTATCTGCCAGAGGAGGACAGAAAGGCAGTGTCTGTGGCCCAGCCCCATGGAGAGGCTCCAGAAGCTTCAGCTGTGTGAGTGTTGTGAGAGGGACAATGAGTTCCTTCCTGTCCCAGAAAGCCCTTTCAGGGCGCCCCTCCGCTGTGGGATGGGTGGGCCCTACTGCCTGGCTTCGCTGGAGAGCTGGACTCAGCTACACCATAATTTATTCCGGAACGTGTGGTGCTGCGTTGCTGTAAGGTAACACCTAGGCTCCTGGGCAAGTCTATGCACCAGCTCTCCCGGACAACCAAGCTCAGAGGCTCCGTCCGCTGCAGTCATTGTTCAGCTCATGGATCCCTCCCTGACTTAAAATGAATTTTTGAATACGTTTATTCTCAATTGTGAGGAGCTGGTAGGATTGGCTCTGGAGGTTGAACTCAGCTTTGGTGCCATATACCTTTAGCCCCGAGCCAACTCGCCAGACCATGTCTTCTTCGTTATATGTGGTCCGTGGGCAGTATGTTTTTATGTATTTTGCGTTTTAATTAAATGAATTCATTTGTTGTCTTAGTCACTGTTCTATTGCTGTCAAGAGACACCATGACCAAGGCAACTTTTGTATAAAGCAAAAGGGCTTACTGACAGTTTCAGATGCTTCGTCTATGGTGGTCATGATAGGGAGTATGCTGGCACAAATGGCACTAAAACAGTGGTGCTGATTCACCAGGCAGCAGCCAGCCAGCCAGGCAGACAGACAGAGCCCGGCTTGGGCTTTTGAAACCTTAACACCCACCCCCAGCAACATACCTCCCCCAACAAGGACCGCCTCCTATGCCTTCCAAGCACTTCACCAGCTGGGGGCTAAACATGCAAATCCACATGGCCTGTGGGGGTCCTTCTTATTCAAACCGCCTCATTTATTTAGTTACGTCTCTTCTCTGGCTTCTTCCTCCTGGTCCCTAAGATCTGTCTTGGAACAGGGACGTTTGATTCTTTGGAGGACGTTCTGAGCCAAACCATTGAATACCTGCGCTGTTACCTGGCCGGTTTATTAGAAAGGGTAGAAGAAAGAGTGAAGAAAAGTTAGAAATCTTGGAAGCCTGAGGAGATGTATGACGTCATCTCCTGGGACAAGGTTTCTGAATGCTTCCTTCTTGCCACCTCCCATTCTGGGTGGAATCGCCTACTGCTGAACAGTGGGGGTGGGGGGACATGTTTACCTGCTTTCTTCGGAAGGAAGTGGCTCATATGGCTTGCTGAGTATGTATCCCTCTTTCTCTAGGCTTCCTGGAGCCTCTCTACGTGCTGACATGGTGACCGTGTGCAGGCAGGCCACAGGCAACCACTGCCCAACTGGAATTCCGAGCTACAGATTGGCCGACAAGTAAGAGCGTCTCTTTGCATGCATGCTGAAAGTGTAAAAGATGAGGAAGCGTCTTAGCCTCCTTCCTTTCTTGCTGTGAGGGTAGGAATTGAACAAGCGTCTCGCCTCCTTCCTTTCCCACGTACACAGCCCTCCCTTTCCTTAACTGAGGAAGTGTCAGTGTCCTGAGCCTCCCGTCAGATCCTCCTTGAGGATCCTCCTTTCAGACTTGAGACGGAAGTGGTTGAGAGGGTCTGGATATTGCTGACTGAGCGCTTCGAATCCCCCTGGTGCTTTCCAGGCAGTGGGCATATTTTTCTAGCTATAGAATCACAGATTTTTTGTTGAACCCTAAAGCCTTGCAACCATAGCTGTTCACATGGTCAGCATTTCCCACCTTCTCTTAGCATGGAGCCTTTTCCTTGATTCCACTCACATTCTCCTGTCACTGGGCTCATCACAGCTCTGCATCCCAGATGCTAGAGTCCTAGAAACAGGACCTCCAGACACCCGAGGGTACAAGAATCATGTAGAGAAGACACTGTCTATCATGGGGACGGTAAATAGCCTCCATCCTTTACACCCCCTGCTTGACCTCAGTAAATACAGCGTGTTCTTCCAGCAGGCCATTCTCATGTCCACAGGGACTGGTAAGTTACTCCAGGTGTTACAGTTAGAGTCAGTTGAGTGCCTTGAGCATCAGACATACATATATATGTGTACATATATATATAATGAATTATGTATTCATATATATATATATGAATTAATCTAAATGGATATGTATTAACAATCTGCCATGTACTAGGAACAACAAAAAAAGGCTGATATGGCCTCTCAACTCAGAAGGCTCCAGCCTAAAGAAAGGAGAAGAAAAATAAATGGGCGGTTGGGGAGATAGCGAAGTGGTAGAGCCCGCTCAGCCTGCTCCGATCCCTGGGCTCAGTCTCTGCACTGAGAAGAACAATCAGCAAGGACACAAGCCCACGTCCTGACTCCAAAGCCCTCGCATCTATCCGCTGTGCGGTGGCGTCCAGCAGCACTTGGGACCGAGCGGCTCGTACCCTGCCCTCGGCTGTCAGCAGGGTACACTCACGCACATGGTCGTGCTCTCACACATCTGTCCTCTTCTGCCATCTTGCCATGAACAACAACAACAAAAAAAAAAAAAAAAAAAAAAAAAAAAACCCTATCAGTTCTGCCTTTTCAGAACTTAGAAAAACAGCAATGGACTGTGACTTTCTCTGCCTAGAATCTAAATTCATGCTACTGTCTTTTTGTTGGTGGTGGTGTTTTTTTTTTCTTTTTTTGGGGGGGGTTGTTTTTGCTTTTTTGGTTTTTCAACACAGGGTTTCTCTATGTAGCCTTGTTTGTCCTGGATTCCCTTTGTAGACCAGGCTGGCCTCAAACTCAGAGATCCGCCTGCCTCTGCCTCCTTGAGGGCTGGGATTACAGGCGTGCTTCATCTTGCCCAGCAGCTCATGTTACTGTCTTGAAGATAATTAAAACAACAGTTTTTCAGGGATAGAGAGGTAGCTCGGAGGTTAAAAGCTCTTAAGCCTCTTACAGAAAACCCAGGTTCAGTTCCCAGCACCCACATGGCAGCTCACAACCACCTGTAACTCCAGCTCCAAAGGATGCAACACCCCCTTCTGTCCTCCATCGACTCTGGGCATACATACAGTGCACATACATATATACAGGCAAACACTCATACAAAAAGTAAAAATGTTTTTAAAAAATACTATTTATTGTAAGCACTCATGAATCCTAATTCTTGTTTCCAAAAAGAAATTCTGTTCTGATTGTCATGGAAAGTATGTTTGCGTTCTCACAAGTTTGAGATTTATGCTGTGCAACCAAGAACAGCAACATAACTTGTGTGCCGATGACGTAATGAAGGGAGAGGTCTTTATATAAACAACTCTTAGTCTTTGGAAAGTTATAGCAACAGGGTGAATGCAGCTGCTGGTTACTCACTCCTCGCTGTGAACCGTAGCTGGAGTTTCTCAACCCCTGTACCGTCAGGTTTATACGAATTCGGGAAATGTCCCCTGCTAGCTTCATGCCTGTTTGCTGAGCCCACACATCTAGTCACCACACACAGCGTAATCTCTGCTGTGTGGGCTGTCTTGTATTTCAAAGCACATATATTCTCGTTCTCATTAACTGTGCTTCAGATGTTCTCTTCCTAAAGGGTTTTTGGCATCTTTGTGGTTCTAACCTCCTAAAGTCGTATTTAGAGGGACCACACATGGATGACCTAGAGACAAAGCTATCTGCAGTCATAGAAACCCTCTTCCATCCACTGAGGAGCCACTCGCCACATGGGTTTTGTGAGGGCTTAGCTGGCAGCTGGGGCAGCTGAGGGACAGAAACTTCCATTCTGTTGGATTTAAGTTCAGCTCGCCACATACGGCTGGTGGAGACTAGTGGACAGTAAATTTCTGGGCTGTGTATAAAATCCAGTCTCCCTGTTGACTCACACATTCACAGATATTCATAGCAACATGTACTGACTTCTACTCTGCCATGATTATTCCTTTTATTCGTAAGAATAACAATACCAAAGTCCAGATAGTACTCAGCTCTCTGCCGGGTGAGCAATCAACAGTTGAATATACGGAGACACCCTTCACGCAGTGTACAAAAGACAATGCTTGTGGCATTGTTTTAGTTTTTATGTAGTCATTGCAGGGCTAGGGAGATCCCATGTAAAATAACCTGAGTATGATAGTTTATAACCCTACCAGTGGAGATGCAGGCTCAGATAGGCCCCAAGAGTTCACTCTCCAGCCAGTCTTGTCTAATAGTGAGTTTCAGGCCAATGAAACCCTGTCTCAAAAATACACACATATGAAAATAAAATAAAGATCACTCTGAGTTCGAGGCCAGCCTGGTCTACAAAGCAATTCCAGGCTACACGGAGAAACTCTGTCTTGAAAATCCGAAGAGGGAGAGAGAGAATAAAATGAGATAAATCCAGGTGGTGGTAGTGTACACCCTAACCCCAGCACTCAGGAGGCAGAGGCAGATGGATCTCTGTGAGTTTTAAGCCAGCCTGGTCTACAGAGTGAGTTCTAGGAGGCTACATAGAGAAACCCTGTCTCAAATAAATCAAAAAGTAGGTTGGAGAAATGGTTCAGCAGTTAGGAATACTGGTTCTGCCAGGTAGTGGTGGCACAGGCCTTTAATCCCAGCACTCGGGAGGCAGAGGCAGGCGGATCTCTGAGTTCGAGGCCAGCCTGGTCTATAGAATGAGTTTCAGGAAGCTAAGGCTACACAGAGAAACCTGTCTCAAAAAACAAAACAAAACCGAATACTGGTTCTTCATATAGAAGACCTGGGTTCAGTTCCCAGCACCCACATGGCAGCTTACAAATGTCTGTGACTGCTGTTCCAAGAGATGTGACCTCACTTTTGACCTCCAAGGGCACCAGGTTTCCACAAAGTTAATAGACACACATTCAGGAAAATACCCATACACATAAAAATTAAAAAATAATAAAATAAATATTTTTAAGTGACAGCTTCAGTGTCATGGTTGGCAATTTGTATATAATACTTATCTCTAGGTTCTGTCAACTCTCTGTGACTGGCCAAGAACAGTTACTTAGACCCCTCACTTTCTGTTTATGTTTCTGGTACAGGGTCAAGGCAGAAGGTCCAAAGGCTGGGGAAGCTCCTAGAAGGCAGCCACTTGGGAGAGCCATTTGTTTGCAAGAGACTAATCCAGCACTGCCCTTGAGAAGGAGTTCCTCAAGAAGCCCCCACAACCCCATGCTGGAAGCGAGAGTGGACATGCTGGGCTCCAGCATGACCATCAGTGGCCCAGCTGCAGACCTTGGTGCTAAAGAGGCCAGCAGGCCCTTCAAGAAGCAGCTTGGTTGTGTCCAGAACCCTGGACAATCCACCCGAGCCAGAGCTCAGCCCCAGCCCCTCAGCATAAAGGACAAGATATCCAAGTGGGAAGGCAAGAAGGAGCCACCCGCTTCTGAGCCTGCCCAGCCAACAGATGGCCAGGAGAACTCCCTGCCACCTTGCAGGATAGAGAGGAGAGGCAGCGAGATCACCAGAACTAAAAATGGACTGAGACTCGAAATGGAGAGCTTGGAAAGTGACAGCTTGACAGCAAGAACTGTGTGTCAGGACACAGAGCGGTGCCCAGGCCTGAGGCAGATAGAAGCACAGCCAGAGCCCAGCCAGCACCGAGGTCGAGAGCTGAAACCCAGTGACCTGCGCTTTCAGAGTAACCATCTCTCCGTGCTGAGACAGGTCAAGAGACTAGAGAAGGCCCTGAAGGACGGCTCCGCTGGCTTGGACCCCCAGTTGCCAGGCACTTGTTATTCCCCCCACTGTCTACCTGACAAGACAGAGGAGGACCAATCCAGTTCCCAAAGCCATGAAAGTGGGGGTGCTTTAGCAGCTAGCCGGAGGACCCACAGCATGGAGGTCAGGGAGCCAAGCCCTGAGATTTCAGAGGAGTGGAAAGGCCAGGAGAGTGTGTACAGGGGCTCCCGGTGTAACCCCCCAAAGCCTTTCATCAACCCCCTCCCGAAACCCCGCAGAACATTCCAACATGCTGGAGAAGGGGAAAAGGACAGAGGCCCAGGCATCAGCCTCAAGAAGGAGAAGAGAAACCTGCCCCCCTTGCCCTCGCTGCCTCCCCCTCCCCCACCGCTGCCCTCCTCCCCTCCTCCCACTTCCGTGAATAGAAGACTGTGGACTGGGAGACAGAGACCCAGTGCTGACCACAGGTAGGTGTCCCTGTGTGACTCCTCCTTCTCAGCCTACTGATGTGTCATTCACCTGAGGGGTTTTCTGGTCAGTCAAGTGTCTACACGTGAGGCGGCTTGCTGGTCCATCTTGGAGTGCAGTAACTGCAAAACAATGTTTGCTTCTAAATATTTCCCTGTGGAGGCAAGCACAGTGGAATAGGCCTGTAAGCCTGGCTCTTGGGAGGTTGAGGCAGGAGGATCATAAATTCAAAGCTAGCCTGTGCAACATAGCAAGTTCCAGCTCGCTGGGGCAGCATAGTGAGATCCTGTCTCAAACTAGCAAAATTACATTAAAGGTGTGATAAACACTTGTAATTGTAACCAAAGGTTAAGTGAAGAAGTTTGTGAAGCTAGCCATTTCCTAGTTTATTAACCGGAAGAACTGAAATGTTTCCTGCTTTGACTTTCCTTGACCCGGCTTGGCCCAGGGATCCCATGTCTGTGCCTCCAGGGTGCTGGGATTACAGATGGCCAACAAGGCCCGCCTGGCTTTTCTGTGGATTTGAGGGATCCAGCCTCTCTGGTCCTCTGTGTGTGTGTGTCCATCCTCCTAAGGCACAATTGCATCAAAACTCAGATTGCACGTGACCTCTACCATAAAGATGGTAGAGCTCTAGAGCTTAAGGGCCTAGGATCTGGGGTGGCCCTTAGCGAGGTAGCACAGAGGTCAGCAGGCTCTAAAGTCCATGTGACAGCTCCCTAAGGATGGGTGCCACTGACTGAGAAACAAGCTAAAGGCTTAGGGAGGGAGAGCCTGGGGTAAGCATTCTACAGCTAGCAAAGGCATTAGCAACACCCACTCGTCTTCTGGGGTGGGGGGGAAACAGGTCTATATACCCCTTCTGTTGAAGTGATAAGCCTACGCGCTTAACATTCCCGGTTTCCCCAGTGCTTGTCCTTGCAAGAGCATCAAGCCCTCTACAGGTCTTACTCTGTAGACCAAGCTGTCTCGAACTCCCTGAGTTGAGTTCAGGCTGTGCTCTAAGTTCCTGCAATCCTGCCTTAGCTTTCCAGGTGCTGAGATTACAGTGAGCCACCATGTCTGACTTACTTTATTCCTTATTTTCCTCCTAACTTTGGTTGGCATCTTCTACGTGGGCTTTGGCCACTCATCCTCAGTCCGCTGTTGCCCAAAGCCACCAGCAGCCTCTGTCTCAGTAAACCCAATGGCCAATTTTCTGTCCTTTTCTTAGATGACATCTCTTGGTATTGAGGACAGTTAACATTGTCTTCATTTGGCTTCTGGGTCTTCCTTTTCCTGACTGCTCTAAGGAATTTCCTTTTCTCGCTGTACTTGCTAAGAGAGTACCTAGTTAGCCTGGTCTACAGAGCCAGCTCCAGGAAAGTGAAGGCTACGCAGGGAAACCCTGTCTTGAAAAAAAAAAAAAAAAAAGAGTAGTACCTAGATGATAAGTATTCTTCCACCTACACAATGAGTACATTAGACTGTATAAAGGCAGGCTTATTGGGGAGCTCTCAATCAGGTTCACTGACGTCACAGGAGGGGGTCTCCATGCAGAGGGAGACAGAAAAGCAGATGAGGGAGCCAAGAGCCATGGCACATACCTGTAATCCCAGCACTCGGGAAAGCAGAGGCAGGCGGATTTCTGTGAGTTCAAGGCCAGCCTAGTCTACAAAGTGAGTCAAAGCTACACAGAAAAACCCTGTCTTGGAAAAACCAAAAAGAAAAGCGGTTGAAGTCAGAGAGAGAAAGCACTTGTAGGTACACACACAAACAGGTGGGGTGGGGTGAGTCCCCAAAAATGTCTGGATTATATAAAGAAGAGCTTCTGGGGAAGGGGAAGCTAAGACCCTGGGCTGCAAAGTTCAGGGCAGAGGATGGAGTAACAGGTAGGGAGTGAGGGATGCTGGGAGAACCTGGAGGCCAGATCTGCTTTGGTATGCTAAGTAGGCACTTCAGGGGCTTGCTTGTCCCTAGTCTGATACCCAACACTAGTGTCAGCCTCCCCATACCACAGCCAAGCTCAGACCCAGGACTTCTCTCCCCTCCCTGCTTGTCCCCTAATGGACTCATCCTGTCCGTCCTGTGCATGTCTCTTGCAAGACTGCCTGGTTGAGGTCTCCAGGCCCACCAAGCCCCGTCTCCTCTCCTGGCAATGAACATCTTAAATGGCATCACCCTTGCTTTAGTTACTTAGACCCAAGAACGAGGCGTGCTCTCCGATTTTCTCTTTCACATGCCCCTCACAACCCAGCAAGCAAGTCCTTCAGTCCTACTTTTAAAACTCGATCTTGAACCTGATTATATCACCCTGGATCCAGTGCCCACCTCCGACCCCCGGAGTGGTCCTGGTGCAACAGCCAGAAGCAGTTTCCAGAAATTAAGTTGTATCCTGAACCCACTTACTGTCATCTGCCAGCTAGTGTGCCTTCAGTTCAGATAACTTAATTCTTAATTTTTCCATGTTCTAAAATGTGTGTGTGTGTGTGTGTGTGTGTGTGTGTGTGTGTGTGTGTGTGT